GAGAACAAGAGTGAGAGGAGGATTGGGCGGGGGGGAAGGCGGAGAGGAGAGAGGTGAGGGAGGGAGTGCAGTGCGGCAGGGGAGGGGATAGGGCGGAGGAGGGAGGGAGGGAGGAGTGAGGAAGCTGCGCACCAACGTGACGGTGAAGCTGAAGCTGCTAGAGGAGAACAAGGTGAGAGGAGGATGGGGGGGGGCAAGGGCGAGAGGGAGAGGAGGGAGGGGGGTAAGAAGGAAGGGAGGCGGAGGAGTTGAGAAGCTGCGCACCAACCGTGACGTGAAGCTGAGGCTGTACGTGCTGATGCGTGCGTGGTCCGCCGTGCCGTGCGTGCTTGTACGCTCGTGCGAAATGCAGTGTGTGCGTGTGTGCTTCGTGGTGCGTTGGTGGTGCATGTGGTACGTGCTGTCGCGCCGCGCTGCTTGTAGCGTGCCGTGCCGCGGTGCGGTGCTTGTACTGTGCGTGTTGCGTTGCTTGTACGTGCGCTTGCGTGCTGTGCTCTGTACGTTGCGTGGTTGCTGTGATGACGAACGTGAGATTTCGCTGGTGCGTCAAACCGTGTGAAACGCCACGTTCCTGCTAGGACGCGAGCTAACATTGTATCCGCACAACGCTTTTCTAACTCTGCTTGCGTAACTTGCTCACTTGCAGGTCGAAGTCATGCAAGAAGCAACTGGTTCGCTTGTTACACAGGCGTGTCAGCTTACTTCGCAGGTAAGATATGTCCATATCTGTGTTGTTAATCCCGACCGCCTATCCTTGCCAACTTACTGTGAAGTTAAGTAGAAGTTATGCATCATTCCAACCAGAGACAGCTATCCTCTACCAGTGGTCTACTGAATGAATATCTTTATTTCCTTCGCGAGTTGAAATAGAAAAGTTTGTTAAGTGAGGCTATCTGCAATCTAGGTGCGCCACTATAGTATACTGGCACACTGCTTGACCCGCAATAGACGAGTCACACACATCCCTGGCATGCTGGAGTGGTTGTTGTAACGACATTTTCTTCAGGTAAATGACCGAATAATGAAAAGGTGCGTGTATCATGTAATTTTAGTCAAATATTGTCAATCACATACGCATTAGTCAGTTTATGATGTTGTGTGAGGTGCGTCTAGACAGGAACATTGTCACTTTGTTGGTGATAATAGTTATCGAAGGATATCAGAACCAAGTTTTTGGGGCCTGCTACTAATGAGAGGTAGTTATGCCCAAGAAATCTGTCACTTTGATGAATATGATAACTATCAAAATATTAAGGAAACCAATAATTGAATATAGGGCATGCCTATAAGGAGTAGTTATGACAACAATCTCCGGTTTTGATGAAAATGAACCAATTGGGGACGGTACTTCCACAAGACAAAATATCTACACAGCTTCAAACAATCTTACTACTACTTACTAGCTTAGTATCAAATATAGGAATAATCACGTTGGACGGTCACTTTCACAAGGAAATATCGCATTTGTTTACAATGCAGTCAGTATCATTGATGAGAATAATCGATTGGAAAACGGCTTACCTTCCACCAATAAATTTTGCTTTCGTATAAGATTATAAGAACGTTATCAAAATATAATTCAATTCAATTAGGACGTACTTTCCCAAGAAAATGTCGCTATACTCGCTATTGTTTAAGAATATAGAAGTATCACACGATACATTGATCCAATTGGGGTTGGTACCTCTCTACCGGGAAAACGATGATGGCGTATTAGTTTGAGCCATGTCATTTGTATGCCACGATGCTTGTCAGGCAACCATGAAGCTCTGCGAACTCGCCTCTGAAGCAGATTCAAGCATGCAAGGTTTCAATCTCCGACACAGCCATGCCACCGTCCTAGTGCTCGATCGGAATCACCGGAATGCACTGAGAGCCGCGCTGGCGGCAGTTGAGGCGACCGCAAGACTATCGCTCGCTCGTCAGTTTTCCCGACGTCAGTCTGTGATTTTCGCTGCTGCTTGCAGCTGTTGGCGGAGGCCGGATGTGGCGGAAGGCGAAAGGTCACCATCGGTCAATCGTTGCGCGTCGGCCGCAGCCTCTCAGCGTCGGCGTCTTGAGAAAGTTTCGCGAGCGGATGCGTTTTTGCGCGATGTGCCGAGCCGACCGCACCGCTGGTGGGACGCCTGCGCCCCGCTGTGAACTTTCTATCCGAAGTTTCGGAATGCGTTTCTGTGCTTAGAGCAGTGGAGTTCATGCGTTTTTTATTGCGTTGGCACGGGGACGATGTGGGGGGACAGGTTGTCAGAATTCGCCGTGAATAGGTGTGAGCGGCGGTCCTGACGGCGCGAGTAATTGAAATTGTCGCATTTTTTTTCAAGCGTGCTTCGCCGAAATAAGTTGGTGACATTTTGTGACAGTCAAGTCATTGACGGTGACCGTGTGTTTACTGTTTTTGATGCGGTCGGGCGAAAAGTTCGGTGACAATTTGTGACAATGTCAGACCTCCGGTCGTTGAACACTCACGATGCTGTTTCTGGCTTTGCGGACTCGCCTCGTCTTTTTTTTAACGGCGCGCGGTTTTCTCATCCCGATTTCTTCCCAAAAAAGCGAATTTACATTTTCCCGCGACCAAGCACGTCCCGTTACGGGTAACGGGCTACGCAGCTTCTAGCTTCGCGTTGTTGACGTTGTTAGATGAGTGAATGATTGATGAACACTGGCGCACCACAGAGGTCTTAAGAAAGTAGAAAGCGCAGACGGATAAAATCACTCAGTGATAATAAACAGCAAGCCCAGCTGTTAGGGCGCCGCTCAGGGGCGTCAGCTACTGGGGGGCGTGCCTGGGGGGGGGCCACGAGCCCCCCCCACAAATTCTTCTGTGGCCCCAGGGTGGCCCCCCCCACTAACAAATTCTGTTTGATAAAAAAATTATGAATTACAAAACAATGCCGTTAGAACCAGTATAATACAGAAGAAAAGTCTATATATTGTCGCCCCCCCCCCACTGAAAATGTAGGGCCCCAGGCTGCTCCCGCTGAAAAAAATCCTAGCTTACGCCACTTGGGCGCTGCATGCTAGGGGGGTCAGGTCGGCGGGCATGGCCCCCCCCCCTTGCAAAATTTTTTTGAATGGTAGACGTCTGGGATTTCATTCTGAGTGAGTCTTGCGAGAGAGAATTTAGGCAACACAATTTTATACCAAAATTTATGGAAGCACTGTGCTGTCAGTGCTTCTATCTGCGGGCGCCAGTGATGGAGGATCGAGTGCTGCGATGAGCGGTGTTTTCTAGCTAAGATTCAGCATGCGTGGTGGAAGTGAGCAGGGCGGTTGTCTTTGTATTAATAGGTCTCAGGGGAGAGACTTAGATGAATATAGCAAATAAGATCAGCGGGCGTGCGACAGGGGGATGGACCAGGACGCCGTCCCAGACCCCCCTGCTTCGCGCAGAAAAACGGTATCTGAGGGGATTTTAAATTCAAAAATTCTCAATGGGGGGAGTTGCCCCCCAGACCTCCCTTTTGCCCGCCTCTCCTGCTCGCCAAGTTCGAGTCTACAGCTCAAACCCCCCCTTGGTTACAAATCCTGTACGCGCCCCCATGTGTAGGTTGCTGATATAGAATCAGTTAACCCTACCCTAACCCCTAAATCCTACCCTAACCCTAAGCCTATCCTCTAATTACTAAAATACAAACAAATTAGCCAAAAAATAAAAATAAAAAAAATAAACAATGAGACAAAATTAGCCAATCAGAGCCCGTCCCACTAGCGCGAATCACTATCTCTCCCCTGTGAATTCGATACGGTGTCTTCTCGTCTTGTGGGTGAGCGACGCGCTGCTTGAAGTTGGTTTCACGTGATGGTTGGTTACCACACCAGCGGATTTGTTCAGCTGTGGCAACGCGCTGCTGCCTGCCGTTTGCCTATACGGCGTCAACTGAAAATGTTTTTGGTGGGGACTGGTCTCTGCTACCTGCTTCCGTCTTCCTTGGTGTGCGTGGTGGCTTGGGTGAGCACGCGTGGCTTGAGTGATTCACTTTTGATGGGTTGGGTCCACATCTGAACTTTCTATGATGTGGCAGCGTTAGCCTGTGTTGCATATAACGGCGTCAACTGGCAAGGAAACTTCTAGAACTAGTCCTCTGTGAAGCCTAAGAACACTCTCTTGGACTGGTGCTATGGGGTATAATAAAACGTTGGACTGGTGAGGAGACGTGGCTATGCACGTGAACTAGAGACACTCCTTGGACTGCGTCTCACGCGTATAATACACGTGGACTGTGCGTCTATGTGCTCGTGAACTAGAACACTCCTTGGACTGGTCTACACGGTCTATAATACACGTGGACTATGCGTAATATGTACGCGTGAGAACTAGAACACTCCTTGGACTGGGTTTACTGCGGTATAATTACCACGTGGACCTAGTGTTGTATATGTGCGTTGAACTAGAACACTCTTAGGGACTGGTCTACACGTATTAATACACGTGGACTGTGGTCTATGTACGTGAACTTAGAACACTTCCTTCGGAAGCTTTTGGGGGGGGGCGGTTTTCGCCTTTTCATTTTTTGGCGGGTATAATACACGTGGACCTATGCGATCTTTATGTACCGTTGAAGTAGAACACTCCTTGGACATTGGTCTGATGCGTATACATACACGTGGACTGTTCTGGTGTGATATATGTACGTTGAACCCTGAGTAACAACTCTGTGGACTGGTCATCATGCAGTATCAATACACCGATGGACTGTGTGCTTATGTACCCGTGAACTAGAACACGTCCTTGGACTGGTCTATGCGTTATAATTTACACGTTTGGACTGAAGCGGTCTATGTACGGCTGAACTAAAAAACATCCTAGGGCTTACGGCGGCATGAACTATCTATGTGTAGTGAGTGCGGCGACTAGGTAAATTTTATTGCCCGTTAATTTCTGTTGATTGTTGTTTCTTTTGGAAATTAAATGCCTAGTCTAGGTTTCCGCCTCGCTTTCTGCGTCATGGCTATTCGAACTGTTACTTATAGCGCGCTCGCATGACAAAAATTACCACCCATCGTTATGTTCTACGATGTAATTGGATTAATGTGTATATTGGCGGTAATCGTGTGTGTGTGTGTGGTGACACAAATCTTGTGCGTGCGTTGTGGGCTGCGTGCGTGCGTAGTGTGTGTGCCTGCATGCGTAGTGCGCGCGCGCAGTGCGGGTGCCGCGCGGCAAACCCACGTGTGTGGCAGTGCGTGATTGTAATTGTATATGTTCTAGTTCATGATTTCTGATCGTTAGGGAACTAGTAGAATCACCAGGTCCAAGGTAAGGAAAAGGCCTTTATTGTTCGGTGATTGGGGCACCTCGGTGCCAGACGACGTATATGTACCTCACGTTTAGAATATATAATGTATTCATACTATATACATGTAATACACAATAAACCCCAGTGCAACCCCCCCCCCCCAGTGCCATGTACGAAAAATTTACTCTGAATTAGCCTCTGACAAGATCTCTCTAAAACTGTCGGCAGCTGATTGACATTGGCTTGGTTGATTATTGAGTGGCGATGTTGATGTACCAAGTTAGTAGAACGATAAAAACTTGGTTTTTAGTTATCTACTCTTGCTGTGTACGTATAGCAGACAGCCGCGCGTACGTCGAAATATTTATCATTCTAGCTATCGTTTTGTTTATTGATGAAACACATCTCTCTCCTTCAACGCCCGTCGGATGTATATCTCTTGAAGACGTATCCGTACAAGTATATCTATCTATTTACGAGTATTATATATAATATATTATATATAAATATATACTAGTAGGTTTGATAATATATATATAAATATATATATATTCGTGATGGCAGGGGTAGAAATTTACTTTTGAACTAGGGAGTCCAACGGACTCTCTACCCTCAAAAAGAGGGAGTCCGTAGCAAAATGAGGGAGTCCGCAGTCTGAAGTTCAAAACTAAAGATATTAACAAGAGTGCATAATAGAGATCTCTATTTGGCACTCTTGATATCTCTATTATGCACTCTTGATATTAACAATAACACATGTGCTTATTTTTAAGATTCATGCGGTTGCACATCTGCCAAGTTTTCTTTTGACATTAGTTGAAAAAATACGGCAATTCCGCGAAGCCGTGCTCCGGAACGAACTAGCTAGTACATATGGCAGAATTTTCAGGGAGTCACACGGACTCCTGCATATGTAAAATCAGGGAGTCCGGCAGTAAATCAGGGAGTATTTGACTCCGGACTCCCGTTAATTTCGCACCCTGTGATAGTATTCGAGCCTTGGAGAGCACCCGACATGTAGCATGTTTTCTAGGGTTTGTCACTTCTCAGTCAGGGTTTGTCGACTATTGGTAGCTTAGGTTGGCCACCAGAGAGTCAACAGGGTATCCCCCCCCCCAGATAGCACAACCTAACTTCGTCCCCTATCCCATCCCCAGCGGTCTGGGGAATGTGTTGCGGGAACTACCGGTGTGGAAATATTTCTCATGACATTCCATCCTTCACTCTTCCCTCGCGACCGCCATCTTGATCCAACTTGGAAAAAAAAAATATATATAACAACATATATATATACATATATATAAATTCACAAGCGGTTTTTTTTATGTAAAAACGGGAAATAGTCGTGATAGTATTCGTCTGTGTGAAAATTAGCAATTCTATTATATTTAATATGAAACGGCGTTTCGTTTTCGTTTTTGCAATATCGTAAAATGTGTTATTTGCAGCAGATAGAGCTGCTGCGCGACACGCAGAGGAAGTACGAGGACATCATCCGCCTCGGCCGCGCCTTCTGCAGCCACTTCCATCACGTCGTGCAGACGCAGCGAGCGCTCGGCGATGCCTTCGCAGGTTACTGTCGCTATTTTGATTTATTTCGTTATTCTGCGACGGAAACGGATCGTAGGCGGTTCGGATTCCGAAATTGTTTAATCGTTACTGTAGCTATGTGTAATAATATATATTTGTTGTACATAATGGTGTATTATTATACGTAATGTTATATTAATAATACTTGACGTTGTATTATTTATACATAATGCCATTGACTATGGTGTATTAATTTCGGACTAATGGTATATTTATTATACATAAAGGTATATTAATTACATAATTATACATAATCGTATATTAATTATATAATCACACATATCGATATATTAATTATACATAAGGGTATATTAACAAAACCTAATGGTATGATAATAATGTGTAATAATTGCCGTCTCCATCTCCATGGCGACGACAGAGCTGGCGGTGAAGGCGCCCGAGCTTCAAGATGAGTTCAACGTGAACAGCGAGACGCAGCGAGCGCTCGTTGCCGCCGGCGACACGCTCATGGCCGCGCTCAACTTCTTCACGTCGAGCGTCAACACGCTCGTCAACAAGACGATGGTGGACACGCTCGACACGTACCGCATGTACGAGCAGGCGAGGTGAGTCCGTCGCCGCGGCGACGACCGGGCGCGGCGAGACAAGAGAACGCGCTTCGCGGCGGTCTGTCGGGGTACCGGCATGCACGCTTTCGTTAACGGGGTTGGGGGCGAGAGGGTTGGGTTTAAAGTTTGCGGTGTGTGTGTGTGTGCCTGTATGCTAGGTGGGTGAATGTGTGCATGCATGTATACCCCGGACCTGCCAACCCTTACGATTTTTTCGTATTCCTTACGAATTCCATGATGTTTCTACGATTGTACGATCAAACTAAAAAACTTACGATTTTTTACGACTTGTGAAAATTAATGTTTTTTACATTGTGAGCCGAGAAATATCTGGCGATTGTGGGCGCAGCCATATTGGATCACGCGTTCACGTTGTTCTCGCGTGATCTAGAGTTAGTCCCATCATTCATTGCGCGCATAACATACAAACAAAATGGCCGCCTGCTGTAAGAAAAGAAAAGCCTTACTATTTTCATGAATCACAGGTTGGCAGGTCTGTATACTCTTAGCGCACCACACCTACTCTAACATCACAACCATCCTAACTCTCTCCCCTCACGCGCGCGACACAGGCTGGAGATGAGACAGTAAACCTGCAGTAATACATGCTTCACCACTCTAAACTCTACCCATCGTCACCTGTTCTTACTAATACTAAAACTAAAAATATACTATACTATACTATACTGTAGCTATACTCTAAACTACGTACTTTATCTTTACCTAACATCTACCCATCCTCTCTCTCTCTCCCTCACACACACCATGCAGGCTGGAGTATGAGACAGTAAACCTATTCTTACGCGGCAGTAATACATGCTTTACTACCCTAACCTCTACCCATCTTTACCCGTTCTTACTAAATACTAAAACTATACTATGCTATACTGTAACTATACCTTAAACTACATACTTGATCTTTACCACTAACCTCTAACCACCCTCACTCTCTCCCCTCATGATCACGCGACAGTATATGCTTCACTACTCTAACATCTACCATCCTCACTCTCTCTTCTTACTCGACAGTAATACATGCTTTACTACCCTAACCTCTACCATCTTTACCCGTTCTTACTAATACTAACACCTATAAGCTCTACCTTAAACTATACTTAACTTATGTACTACTTACCTAAACCTCTACCCCCCCCCCCCCCCATCTTCACCCTTCTACAAACTAAAACTATACTATGCTATACTTTAACTATACTTTAAAACTATGTACTTGATCTTTACCTAACCTCTACCCATCTTTACCCCGTTCTTACTATACTAAAACTATACTATGCTATACTGTAACTATACTTTAAACTATGTACTTGATCTTTACCTAACATCTACCCATCCTCACTCTCTCTTCTTACTCGACAGTAATACATGCTTTACCTGCCCATAACTCTACCTCTTACCCTTCTTACCTAATACAAAACTAGTACTCCTATATGTACACCTATACCTTACACACAATCCCGTCTGATCTTTACCTAACCTCTACCAATCGTCATCCATTCTTGCTAATACTAAAACTATACTATGCTATACTGTAACTATACCTTAAACTACATACTTGATCTTTACCACTAACCTCTAACCATCCTCTATCTCGCTCTCCTCCCCTTCGCATGGGCCGGGGGGGGCTGGAGTACGACGCGTACAGGGGAGAGTATGAGGCGGTGAGCCTGCAGGCTCAGCAAGCACTCGATCTCGCTGCCTCTTCACCGACGAGAGACAAGACCGCATAAGGCCGCTCTCGAGAAAGCGCGCAACAACGTACGGAGAGCTGAAGCTGGTGTCTAGATGAGACCATAGGTAAGCAGTGAGGAGGGAGAGGAGGAGAGGGAAGAGGGAGGGGATAGAGGAGAAGGGATGATGAGCATGGAAACATAGGAGGAGAGGAGGGGAGAGTGAAGAAGCTCGGCACCAACGACGGGTAAGCTGAAGCTGCTAAGGAGCACAAGTGAAGGATGATGGTGGGGAAGGAGGGGAAGAGGTAGGTGTGTGTGTGGGGAGAGAGGAGGGCTTGGGATGGGGGGGGAGACGGGTGAGCAGTCTGGTGGTGGATACGGATGGGGGGCTGGGATGGGGAGATAATTCTGAGTGCAGGCGGGAATGCGTCAGCGCCTGTGATGAATTGCGCTTGTAGTGGGACGGCTTGCATGTTTGCCGTACCGGCGCATTTACTCGTGCTACGTGCGTGCGTGCTTGTACGCTGCTGCTCGCTGCTTAGTATGTGCGTGCTTGACTCGTGCATACGTCGCTTGTCACTGGCGTCGCGTGCGTGCTTGTACGTGCGGCGTGCGCCGCTGTATTGCGCTGTTTGTGCTTGCGACGGCTGCCGTGCGTGCGTCGCTGCGTGCGTCCGGCGTGCTGCGTGCGTACTGCCTTGCGTGCGGCGTGCTTGTCATCGTGCGTACTGCGGCGTGCGCTTGTACTGCGTCGTGTACGTGCGTGCGTGCGTGCTAGTACGTGGCGGCGTGCGCCGTACGCTGCCGGGCGTGCTTACGCGGGTGCGTGCTTGGGCTACGTGCGGCTTGTAACTGCGGCATGCGTGCAGTGCTTGATACTCGTGTGTCGGCTCGAGTACTCTGCGACGTGCTCGCCAGTGCTTGTACGTCTGCGCTGCATGTACCGTGCGTGTGGCGTGCTTGTACATGCGTGTCGCTTGTAACGCGTGCCGTACGTGCGTGCTGCGGCTTGTAACGTCGTGCGTAACGTGCGTGCGTGCGTGCTGTACTGCTCGTGCGTGCTTAATGTACGTGCGTGTGCCTTGTACTCTGCTACGCGTGCCTGCAGTGCTGACCGCGCGTGCGTGCTGCTGGTCCGCGCGGTGCAGGGTTTGCGTGCTTGTACTCGATCGTACCGCGGTGCTGCGTGCTTGTACCGACGTGCTGCGTGCTGTACGCGTGCGGTGTGCCTATTCGTCTGTGTGCGTGCGTGCTTGTACTGCGGTGCGCGTGCGTTGCTTGTAGTGCGGCGTCGTGCTTGTACTCCGTGCGTGCCGTGCTTTACTTGCGTGTGTGCGTGTGCGAACGTGAAGATTTCGCTGTGCGTCAACCTGTGCGAAACCCATGTTCCTGCTAGACACGCAGCCACATGTATCCGAAACGTTTTCTAATCTCTTGCGTAACTTGCTCTTGCAGGTGAAGGTCATGCAGAAGCAACTGGTGCTGTTACACAGGGCCGTGTCGGCTTACTTCGGAGGTAAGATATGTCCGTATCTGTGTTGTAATCCCACGTCTATCCTGCCACTACTGTGAAGTTAGTAGAAGTTATGCATCATTCAAAGAGACAGCTATCTCTACCAGTGTCTACTGAATGAATATCTTTTCTCGCGAGTGAAATGAAAGTTTGTTAAGTAAGGCTATCTGCAATCTACTGCCAACTATATATACTGCCACTTCTTGACCCCCAATAGACGAGTCACACACATCCCTGCATGCTGGAGTGGTTTGTAACGACATTTTTCAGGTTGATGACGAATAATGAAAAGGTGTATCATGTAATTTTAGTCAAAATATTGTCAAATCACATACGATTAGTCAGTTTATGCATGTTGTGTGGAGGTGGTTAGACAGGATATGTCACTTTGTTTGAATATAATAGTATCAAGATATAAGAACCAATTTGGGCATGCTATAATGGAGGTAGTTATGCAGAAAATCTCACTTTGATGAAATATGATAATATCAAAATATAAGAACCAATAATGAATTATAGCATGCTATAATAGAGGTAGTTATGCAGAAAATCTCGTTTTGATGAAAATGAACCAATTGGGACGTACTTCCACAAGAAAATTCTACAAGTTCAACAATCTTACTACTACTTACTACTTAGTATCAATATAGAATAATCAGTTGGAAGGTACTTTCACAAGAAATATCGCTTTGTTTAAATGCAGTAGTATCATTGATAGAATAATCGATTGGGAGGTACCTTCACAATAAATTTTGCTTCGTATAAAGTATAGAAGTATCAAAATATAATAATCAATTAGGACGTACTTTCCCAAGAAATGTCGCTATATCGCTTTGTTTAGATATAGAAGTATCACGATACAATGATCAATTGGGTGGTACTTTCACGGGAAACGATGGCGTATATGTTTGAGCATGTCATCTGTATGCACGATGCTTTGCAGGCAACCAGGAAGCTCTGGAACTCGCTCTGAAGCAGTTCAGCATCAAGGTTCAATCTCCGAACAGCCAGCCACCGTCCTGGCTCGAGGGAATCACCGGAATGCACTGAGGAGCCGCGCGGCGGCAGTGAGGCGACCGCAAGACTTCGCTCGCTCGCTCAGTTGCCCGACGTAAGGTCTGTGATTTCGCTGCTGCTGCAGCTGTGGCTTCGGCGGTGTGGCGGAGGGGAAAGGTCACCATCGGTCACTCGTGGTCGCCGCAGCCTCTCAGCGTCGGGCTTGGAAGTTGCGAGCGATGGTTTTGCGCGATGTGCCGAACCGACGCACCGCTGGGACGCTCGCGCTGTTTTTATCCCGAATCGAATGCCGTTTCTGTGCTAGAGCAGTAGTGTCACGCGTTTTTATGCGGGGACGAGTGGGGACAGTTGTCAGATTCGCCGTGAATAGGTGTGAGTGTCACGCGCGAGTCTTAAATTGTCGCGTTTTTTTAAGCGTGGCTTCGCGAAAACGTTGGTGACATTTTGTGACAGTCAAGTCATGACGGTCGTGTGTTTACTGTTTTTGATGCGTCGCGAAAAAGTTGGTGACAATTTGTGACAAGTCACCTCGGTCGTTAACCACTCACGATGTTTCTGGCTTGCGGACTCGCTCGTCTTTTTTTAAGCGCGCGGTTTTCTCTCGATTTCTTTCCCAAAAACGAATTTCATTTCGCGACAGCACGTCGTACGGTAGCTCGCAGCTTCTAGTTCGGCCTCGACCTCCCTCCGCTCGCCTCCCTCCCTCCCTCCCTCCCTCCCCTCCCTCTCTCTCTTCTGCTCTCTCTCTCTCTTCTCTCTCTCTCTCTTCTCTCTCGCGACAACACAATAAAATTTATAGTGAAGAAATAATAGACAGAATAGTAATTATAACCAAACGAGTCGAGTACGTGGAAAAATAACACGTTATTGCGACGTGTATTCAAGTAGGACCTCAAGGCGAGCAACAGCCAATCAAAGTGAATGCTACCCTTATTGCACGCATTATCACATCTTCTCCATATTAGTGCATCGCGTTTCCGAGAAGAGATTTCAACAAAAATACGAAACATATACAACCCGTTTGGGCAAGGAACAGTGTCACGAAGGCTGCCGTGTGTGGTATTACATGATATCATCTGAGAGATCTATTCCAATGTGAATCTTATATAGTAGGTAAATGATAAGCCTCCCTTCCCCCTCACGAACATTCTATAACTCCACGCTGCCAGGGTCTATGTCTCCCTGGGTTAGGGTTTGGAGTAGGCGTAGGCGACTCCCTAGACTCGTTAGTGGAGTAGGCGAGGTATGGTCGCGGCATATCTAATAAGTACCAGGGTACGTTCCGTGTATACCGGACCGTACCCAGGGTACGTTCCGGCAGTACCCAGGGAGACATAGACCCTATCAGCATAATTCACCTATCACAAATAAGCTAAACGAAACGACGACTTCGACAAAACACAAATTAAAACTGATAAATCACGAGCAAGCGTACACACACGAAGGATGCAGATTTTTTTCCCGCAATAAATCTAGGAATAATAATTGCCTTCGAGTAGGCTTATAATGGGTTCATCGCATAACACACAGCTTCGTCACTAGGGGGAAAAAAATAATGATAAATGTCTAAAAATAATCAAAATAAACGTTTTTCCATCTCTAACAATGAAACGTTTGTTGAAGGCCTCGTCTTTAGCGACACTTATAACGTGACGCTATAACATGCAATTATAACGTCTCATCGCAACGTGTCGTTATATCATGCCATAGTAACGTGTCATTACAACATGCCATATATAATAGTAACATGTCATTAGCAGACATGCCAGTACTATATAACATGTCAATTATAAGCATCCATAATATAGTCAACATCGTCAATTATAAGACATGCCACAAGTAACATGTCATTATAACATGCCAATATAGTAACATGTCATTATAACTGCCATAATAGTAACATGTCATTATAACATGCCGATTAATAACCATGCCAATATAGTAACTTGTCATAAACTAACATGCCATACTAACAGTGTTATTTAACAGCCATAGTAACATGTCATTATAACATGCCATATATAGTAACATGTCATTATAACATGCCATATATAGTAACATGTCATTATAACATGCCATGGTAACATGTCAATTATAACATGCCAAATAAGGTAAACATCGTCATTACAGCACATGCCACAGTAGATGTGTCATTATACAACATCCATAATATAGTAACATGTCATTACAACATAGCCAATATAATAACATGTCATATATACAGCATGGCCATATAAGTAAACATGTCAATTAATAACATGCGCATATATAGTACCTGTCATTATAAATGCCATAGTAACATGTCCATATATATTAACATGTCATTATAACATGCCATGGTAACATGTCATTATAACATGCCAAATATAGTAACTTGTCATAATAACATGCCATATATAGTAACATGTCATTACAACATGCCACAGTAATGGTGCCATTACAACATGCCATTATAGTAAACATTCATTACTATATAATAACAATGTCATTAAACATCCATATATTAGTAAGCATGTCATATAACATCCATATATAGTACCTTTTGACATGTGCATTATACATGCCATATATAGTAACAATGTCATTACAACATGCCAAAATATAGCGTAACCTTGTCATAGTAACATGCCATATATAGTAACATGTCATAATGACATGTCACAGTAACATGTCATTATAACATGCCATAGTAACATGTCATAATATTAAACATATCATTATAACAAGCCCAGAGTAACATTTCATCATAACATGCCATTATAACATTTCATAATAATATGTCATTATAACATGCTACGGTGACACGTCATTATAACATTTAATTATAACGTGTCATTATAACATGCCATTGTATTGGGCTTCCAATTGTTTAATTGAAAATAACTAATTAAACATAAACAGTCATCACGTGGATTACTGTCGCGTACGGTACACGTCACATATTCAACTAATAACGTCGTTACACATAATATACTGATTACACGCTCATATATGGAAATATAAATTCCGATATATTACCTAGCAATTAAATATTCCGCTCTCCGAAAACCCCCCTTTTTTTTTTTCTGCGAACTAATATAGAGGGTGGGTGGGGCGGGGGGGAAATACACATTTTACGATATTGCAAAAAGACGAAAACGAAACGCCGTTTCAATATTAAATATAATAGAAATTGCTAATCTATTCACACAGACGAATACTATCACGCACTATTTCCCGTTTTTACATAAAAAAACGCTTGTGAATTTATATAATATATGTATATAGTATATGTTTGTTATTATATTATTTATTTTTGTTTCCAAGTTGGAGGTCAAGATCGGCGGTCGGCGAGGGAAAGAGTGAAGGATGGATGTCATGAGAAATATTCCACACCGTAGTTCCCCGCAAACATTCCCCAGACCACTGGGGGTGGATAGGGGCACGAAGTATAGGCTTGCTGCTATCTGGGGGGGGGACTACCCTGTTGCTCTCTCTGGTGCGCCAACCTCAAGCTACAATAGTCGACGAACCCTGTGAGAATGACATAGAAACAGCTACATGTCGAGAGTGCTCTCCCAAGGCTACGAATAGCTTCACCACGGTGGCGAAATAACCGGGGAAGTCCGGAGTCAAAATACTCCTGATTTACTGCCGGACTCTCCTGATGTGGTTACATATGCAGAGTTCCGTTGTGACCCCTGAAATTCTGGCCATAGTTACTAGCTAGCTTCGTTTCCGCGAGCACGCGCTTCGGCGGGAATTGCCGTATTTTTTCAACCTATGTCAAAAGAAACTTGGCAGATGTGCAACCGCTGAATCTTAAAATAAGACATGTGTTTTGTTAATATTCAATGAGTGCTAATAGAGATCTCTCTTATGCACTTCTTGTTTAATCACTCTTTAGTTTTGAACTTCAGACATGCGGACCTCCCGCATTTTGCTACGGACTCCCCTCTTTTTGAGCGAGTAGCAGGTCCGCGTTGGATTCCCGTAATTCAAAGTAATTTCTAACCCCTACGCCATCAAACGAACTATATACTTATATATATATATATAATATATTATATATGTTATATAAAATATATATATACTATACTCGTAATTAGATAGATATACTTGTACGGCATACGTTCTTCGGATATACAATCTGCGGTTGAATATAAATGTGTTATCAAAAAAAAATCAAATTAGAACAAAACGATAGCAGGAATATTAATATTTCAGTCTGCCTATACTACATCACAGAGTAGATAATAAAACCAGTTTTTATTATCTAACTCTTGCTACACACATCGCCACTATAATAATACCAGCCAATGTCATAGCTGCTCGACAGTTTTAAAATCTCTTGTCAGAAGGCTATTTCAGAGTAAATGTTTCGTACTGGCATCTGGGGTTTGCATGTGGGGTTATGTATTACATGTATATTAGTATAATACATATATATACTAGGTATATGATATACGTCGTCTGGCACGAGAGTCCCCAATCACGAACAAAGCCACGTTTTCCTTAATTGGACGCTGGTGCTTCTACTAGTTCCTAGTCATATGACTAGCATATACACTGTACACACACGCCGCTCAACACGCGCGCACCCGCACGCGCGCGCACTTCACGGCATGCAGGCACACACGCGCACGACGACACGCACAGCCCGCACGCACACACACACACACCAATACGCGCATAACACATTAATACAATCATCGTAGAACATAAGCGATGGGGTTAATTTTTGTCATGCAACCCTATAGCTAATAGTTCGCAATAACCATACATAGCCAACGAGCGACGCTATGACCTCAGGCATTAATTTCAACAACAATCAACAGACATTAACGGCAATAAATTTACTCCCCAACTCTTAAGTACACAACGATATCATCGCCGTAGCCTAGGGGCGGGCGGGTGTTTTAGCTTCACGTACATAGACCTCGCGTCCACGTGTATTATAGCATTAGACCAGTCCAAAGGCAGTGTTCTAGTCAGTACATTACACACAAGCTCACGTGTATTATAGCGCATAGACGCAGTCCAAGGAGTGTTCTACTTCACGTACATAGACACGACAGTCCACGTGTATATAATACGGCATAGACAGTCCAAGGAGGTGTTCTAGTTTCAGCTACATTAAGACGCATAGTCCAATACGTGTAGTTATACGCATAGACCAGTCGCAGAGGAGTGTTCTAATTCATCGTACTAGACGCACAGTCACGTTAATTATAGCAATGAAAAGTCCAAGGGAGTGGTTCTAGTTCAGACAATTAGCACAGTCCACCTGTTTATACGCAATACCAGTCAAGGGAGTGTTGTAGTTCACGTCACATAGGCAGCCACAGTCCACGTGTAATTATACGACATAGACGCTCCAGGGTGTATCTAGTTCACACGTTACATAAACGCCACAGTCCCACGCTGTAATTCATACGAATAGACCAGTCAAGAGTTGGCTTCTGTTACGTACATAAACGCCAGTCCCACGTGTATTATACGGCATAGACCAGTCCAAGGCAGTGGTTCTACTCCACAGAGACGAGTTTCTAGAAGTTTCTCAGTTGTAGCGCGTATACAACACAGGCTAACGCTTGCCACACATAAGAAGTTCAGATGTGTAGCCCAACCCATCAAGTGAATCACTCGAAGCACGCGTGCTCGACCCACCATCCACGCATCCAAAGATG